CTGGCAAATTGGACCGTCTCGCCGTCAGTGATCCCTTCTGGCCTGATGAAGGGCGCTGCATTGGGAGGGCAGGGGTCAGCCAACGCCAGTGTCCCAACCTCGGCTTGGCTTTGCGACAAGAAGATCACAGGTCGGAAGATGCCGCCAAGCAGCTAGAAGCAGGAGAGCAGCTTGCATGGCTCGCATCGTGGCGGCGGGCCAGCGGGAAAAAGTCTTCAGGTCTTGCGCAAAATGCTGGTCAGCCCGGGAGTTTTCACATCTTCCGATAGTTCTGCGAGCTTGTGACCATCTGCAATCCTGTCCTAGAAGTCTCCCGGCCTGGGTACTGCGGAGGTCACGGCTGACGGAGTGCGCCGCCGCCCAGCCTACGGTTCCAGGCTCTAGCGTTCGAGAGTCTCGGGGCTCTGAACCTTCACAACAAACTGGCCCAGAACCCCACCCCCCCCAGCGGAGCTGCCAGGCCTTCCAAATGGCAATGAAACCACGCCATGGGGATAGGGTTAGCTTGGGGTGCATCGCCTAGCGACGAGGAAGGATCTCGAATCACATCTGCACTGATTTGATGTAGCTTGAGACAACATGGTATCCTTGAAAGCTTGGGCTTTAGGGCTTAGGGGGGTTTAGGGTTTAGGGTGTCAGAAGTCTTTAAACTGCGAATCATGCTGCGTAGATTCTTCATTACGGTTGTGGAACCGGTAACCCGGTACCCGAAGCTATCCTGACACTTAAACTTGCGAACTGAAGCTCTTGTTTCTGCACCGTATCCAGTCGAAACATGCGTTTAAAGGTTGGAATTCACATATGCAACATGTTCGATATAGCTCGAGGAACCGGCGCAGGTGTGTTAAAACATGCTCAAATGCACTTCGACATGTTAAAACCATGGCTTAGACCTTTCGGTTTAACCACGCCGTATCAATAAATAAACAAACATCCGCACACTGGTCAACCATGGTTAGACGGGATTACGTTTAAACCGACTAAACCTAGACGTTTGAAACACAACCCCGCGAACTTTCTCCTCAGTCCCAGGCCTCCGCCTTTCCCAAGTAGATCAAACCCCAACCAACAACTTTGTCCCTGAAAACGAAAACGTGTAAACAGCATGCGGAAAGTAGGTACGAGTAGGATTGCAATAGAACCCTTGGGTCTATGCGCCATCTGGAGTTTAGTGTAGGGATGTAGGGGTTCAGGGTTGTCAGGGTTTGTAGTGCTTTGAGGGGCTGCGATTGTGGGCCGAGGGTTGAGGAAGCCACCTAAGGAACTCTACACCCACGGCACCTTGTGCCCCGAGCAAGCCCGTGAACAGCTTCAATTCCGTGAGCTGTCGTCCCTCTACTAAAGCCCTCCCAAACGCCACGCCCTGCAGATGTGTATCATAGCCCGTCCTTTCTTCGCTGTGCACATGCAGCCCTGCTGAGCAGCGTGGGTCAGCGGGACAGGAGGCATACTTGCTGGTAGTTTTCACAGCTGATTGAAGCCTCAACACCGTCGTGTACACGGGCTTGGGGTTCCATTTGAAGGTGGCCGGACCTGGCTATGCACAGTGGAGGAATGCCGCAGTATTGCGACGGCTGCAAAGACAGAATTTTGTCTTAAATCTTGGGCAGTGATGCCAGTTCCTTGCATCGGTCACCGATGCTGGCTGACAACACGTTCAAGCGGCATGCACCTTTCATTCAGCTACCTGGGTATGCCTGAAGTGACACTGAAGTGAGCATCCAAGCCTTTACATCGATTCACCCAGCCTCGCCCTGCTGCCAATCACTCCGTCTACAGCATCTTGGCATCGTCGCTAGTGTCGGTCAGGTACGCCGCGAATGCGCTCACAAGCCTCACGCGGCGAGATGCTGAACTTCGCAGCTAAGCTGCATCCAAGATCTTCTCTACAAAACCTCTGAGCCTACATCCAGCCCGATGTCGTCCTATTAAGACACACTCCCAGATTCAGAGCATCTTTCTTGCAGTTGTGGTGCGAGACGCAGGCGACGGCTGCAAAGACGATGCCGAGGACCCACTTGTACAGGCCCTTCACCCGAATCTGGCGGCACCAGGAACACGAGTGGGACGAGTCCGCTTCCCAGGAGGATCAGGCTGAAGGTTCTTGGTTGCTTCTTCATCGGGGCCCGCGTTGTTCTTTTAGCACACGTTTACGAGGTCTAGGGGAGCAGCATCGCTGTGGTTGCATGCTGCATGCGTTGTCAAAGGACATCACGGATACAAACCTTCGGCTTTCCTCCCTAAACAAGCTTCCGAAGCAACACTTCGACAGAAGGACTGACACGAGAAAGGCATGCGATAGCTGCCGGAGAGTCGCCCGGAATCCAAATCTAAAACCCAAACAGTTTTACAATCTCCCCCTCTCTCCCGAGCGGCCTACCACCACAGAAACCCATGCGCCTGCTCCGGCAGAGTCTTGCTGATGGCGAGGAGGTACCTGAACTCGGTGCAGGAGTTTCGGCTTCTGAGTCTGGGCCTTCGGACACCCGATCGGGGCGTTGTATTCTTTAAGACTCATGTCCAAAACCCTTGCGTGCAAGACCCAATGTAGATGTAAGTTGCAGGACATCTGGTTCTCTGGCCTGCCCGAAGCACCTGGGAAGTTCCTCTAGGCTGCTAAGCAGTTCTTCCGAAACAACTTCCTACTTGTCGCAATGCCATCAGTGGCCAAGAACCCCTTCGAAATCGGAACGTTTCCTGAGCCGCGTGCAGGAATCCCACGGCCACCGGCATGAGGATTCCGTCCTGGTGGCGAAGTCTGTTCTTCTTGGGTATAACCAACGAACCGGCCATGAATGGCTCCTAGCAGCCGGTTCTACATGCTCACTCATGTTACCCAAGCAACGCCTACACCGGAAACTCACGGTTTTTCTAGCGAGCTTCGATTCGACGTTGAAGTCCCAGCACCGTCAAAGCGCTCCCCTGGACATGCATGCAGCCATGGCACGAGAAGTTCAACCATGACGTTCCTCGGCCATGGCTGTGGGAAAGTCGGGACAACAACACCAATCATGATGAGAAGAACAAAAGCAGCAACAGCAGAAATGGGCAGAAACAGCAATGGCAACAACAATCACACCGCCGCCCACCCCCACCACCACCAACAGCAAAAGCAACGGCAACAGCAACAGAAGCAGCAGCAACACCACCACCACCACCGCCGCCGCCACCACCACCAAATCACCACCAGCACTAACACCAGCACCACCACCGCCGCCGCCGCCACCACCACCACCACCACCACCACCACCACCACCACAACCAGCAGCAACAGCAACAGCAACAGCAACAGCAACAGCAACAGCAACAGCAACAGCAACAGCAACCGCAACGGCAACCGCCACATCCACGGCCACGGCCACGGCGACAGCGACAGCAGCAGCAGCAGCAGCAGCAGCAGCAGCAGCAGCAGCAGCAGCTCCAAGAACAACAACGACAACAACAGCAACAGCAACAACCTCAACCACCACCACCACCACCACCAGCAGCAGCAGCAGCAGCAGCAGCGGCAGCAGCGGCATCAGCAACAACTGCAACAGCGACGACGATGTCGATTTCGACGTCGACAACAAGAAGACAACACATACAACTCCAACCACACTGTCAGCATCATTGCATCTGGTATCTTCGGTAACCAGCTATGTTTCCATCTTGAAGGTCTGTAGCCGACCCCGCACATCGGTTCATTATGGACTATGGTGATGTCCTGCCTTCAAATTCTTTTGCTCCGAGTGCTGTGAGGCTTTGCCTGACAGGGACATATGCCCACGACTAAAACTCCTGCAACTGGAAACCCTCAAGTCCCCGGGCTCCAAATCCCCAAATCGTCGAAGCCAACTCTCGAGACCCCGAAGCCGGAGAAGTCGTCGCCAAAGCTCAACTTCACGACGTTGATGCCAGAGAGGAGGACGACCACCCCAAAGAGCACCTGAAAGGCTTGATGCTTTTTGCAGCCATCAGTCGCGTCATCCGGGCTCGGCTTCACCACAGGCAAGAGCCCTTGCAGCAAACTAGCATCTATGCGCAGAATGCATCTCTAGCGAACAGTTTTCTTGGAAAGCCGAAGAATCGCACTGCTCGGCAAGATGCCAGCATGGGAGAGATGAGTGTCTCGAAACCCTCGGGCTTCGGGTTCAAGAGCTGCAAACCTCTCCAATTCTAAGAAGCAGGCCACGCAGGCAAAGCTGCCATAGAAGAAGGGGGCCTCACAAACGCAGACCATGTGCTTTCTTTTCAACTTTTCAGGGGCCCTCAAATAGAGAAGATCCTAGACTACCATCCGGGTTGAGCTTGATCCTTCTGTGGTCTCTCTGGTCCGAGTCCGTCAGAATGCAAGAGCCGGATTTACGTCTTATCCCTATTGGGCATCGCTCATAAAGATTCCCTCCGCAAAACCCTACGCGTTCTTCTGATGCACGAACAAGCACACAGCGCAAACAGCACCCAACACATGCAGACGTGGAAAGCTCGGGAGCAGTCACACGGTTTAGACTGTACTTGGTTGATATGTCGGCATCTCACTTGCCCTCACACCCGGCCAGCAATGTTCCGGGAGTGGATAACGGTGTCTCCAACTCCCGGTGGGTAAGAACAATGGACGGAAACCAATGCAGCTGACAGCTATGGTAACAGTCGCAGCGAGCGAAGTAGTGAGTTCACTATCTGAAGCTGAGTAAGAAAACAAGATTGATCACGGGATAGAAGCCAATCCAGCTGACAGCCATTATCCCAATGGCATTGAACACACTTCTTCTCTCACTAATGTCTGCGGCCCGGGTGCTACTTACTCTCTTGCTGCCTCAGGTGCCCGGCCTCTGTGGGTGTCTGCTCCAAGGCAAAGGTGTCTTCGAGGCTCAGAGCCTGAAGAATGCAGAAACCCTTGCGATACACAGCTTTCCGCCACTCAGCGGCCTGCATCTTAATGGTCTTATAACTCTTGAGAACCGGGACTTCTCCAAAAAGCCCAGACCTGAAGCTGACGTCCCGCAGATTCTGCAACACATCCTGGGCTTGGCCTCGCAGAGCGCCCAGGTACCAGCTAAGGCCACCTAGGAGATGAGAAACAGCGATGGCCTCACTGTCATCGTCGCTACTGCCAGCAGCTGGAACTTCAATGACGACTGCAGCAGCAACAAGAACCAATGTAACTGCTGCTGACACTGCAGCAACTCCCGTCTTGCTGCTCGTACTTCTGATCGTTTCCTCCTCCTCCGCACTCAAACGCTGTGCATGGTGTTAGCAGTGCAGTGATCTGCGCGCAAGCAGTAGTAGTAGTAGCAGTAGCAGTAGCAGTAGCAGTAGCAGTAGCAGTAGCAGTAGTAGTAGTAGTAGTAGTAGTAGTCGTAGTAGTAGTAGCCACCCCCCCTACCAACTACACTTGCTCCATCCGGGCTGGGCAGTGGCAGCTTCTTGGCTCCCGAACTGCGACAGGTGCAGAAGATGCAGGGGCTCAGGCTCCCTATCTGTGACAGCTGCAGAAGTTGCAAAGGCTCATTTTCCTTAACTGTGACGTTCGGTGAAGTCGCAAAGGATCAGGCCCCAAAACTG